CCAAGGGGCGTCGGAATGACCCCTTAGTGGTTTTAACAGTGGCAACCCTCACTACACCGTCAGAACCAGGATGTATTTCGGAAATTCTACCCACATCCCAATTCAATGGAGACATTAACTCATTTTTTATGAGGACAAGAGTGCCTAGAGATGGTGATTCACAAGAATTATGCCATTTTGATCTTTGATGGAGAGTGTGTAGATATTCTTGCGACCATCGCTTCCATAAATCCTGATGCAGACGTTGTATCAGTTGCCATCTATCCAAACGATTAATATTAATATTGCCTAGGTTCGGTTCAGGTAAAACAGTGATCGGCTCCATAGTCAGGAAGTGGCCCGGAGTTAATACAGAAAAATCATTAGGATCGGTGTTAACTGCACAAATTGGTCTACTATTTAAAACCGCTTCTATTTGTGTAAGTAACGTATTCATTTCCTCATACGTCATGGTTTGTTCGCCAATGACTCGAATTATGTGACCCTTCACGGACTTGATACCCGCTTCCCAAATTCTACCGAAATGGGATGCAGCAGGACAATTGAAATTCCATTTGATAGCTTCCACTTCAGCTGCATGTTTCATTATATTCATGATATATTTATTTGCACCTACAAAATTCGTTCCGCAATCCGAATAAATTTCAGAACATCGACCTCGTCGTGCCATAAAACGCCTGAATGCGGCTAAAAATGAATCGGTAGATAAGTCAGAGGTGAGCTCCAAATGTAAAGCCTTCGTCGCCATGCAAACGAACAAGCAAATGTACGCTTTCATTATTTTTGCGCCTCGTATTTTACCCAAAGTAATTTTCAATGGTCCGCCCATGTCTACGCCGACTCTGCTAAATGCTTTAATTTGAGAAATTAAACAAGAATGGCACTTTGAAATAACGCTTCGAATAACTCTTCTCGCTGAAAACATCCAGAAGGATTGAGAAAGTATAAAGTGTGTTGTTTGTATACCAGAATGTAAATTTGTTACATGTATGTAAAACACAAGTATTCTTGTAAATTTACCATGACTAGGAAGTAAAATCGGAAAACGTCGATCATAACTCAATGAGGACTGACTGAGTCTGCCTCCTACTCGAAGAATATTTGACTTATCCAAGAAGGGATTGAGTTTTCGTAATGGTTTTGAAGTGATTCGGTTGTCAATAACTTGTTTGATTTCGGAGCGCAGCGAGGTCTCTTGGACTCGTTTTATAATATACATGAAGGCACCATGGATCTCTGATGAGATCAGACAGCCCGTCCGTTTATTTTTCGGATTCTTAATATTGAATACAAATCTCAAAATGAAAGCAACAATCCTTTTGATTTTAGATAAACTAGAAAAGTGTTCAAGTAATTTGTCGATGATATCTTCCGAAATAAAATTAGCTAAAGATACCTTCGTTTCTTCTGGAGGAGTATTTTGTAAGTTCAATGCGACATTTGGTAAATTCCATTTTTCATTAGGTTTTGATAAGAAATCAGGACCCACCCACCATAAGGAATTAGTCAATAATTCCGATGGGTACAGACCCCGTGAACCACAATCGGCTGCATTCATGGCTGATGGGACATAATTCCATATATCGGAACCCACCTTTTCTTGAATATAGGAAATTCTATTTCCAACGAATACCTTATGATCACGGGGAAAAGCCTTTAACCACGTTAAAACTACAGTAGAATCGCACCAAGCGAAAATTTTGTTGAAAGATATTTTATCCTTGAATGCATGCAAAATAAAGGTTATTAATTTAGATAAAAGTACAGCACCGCATAATTCGAGTCGTGGAATAGTTAGGCGCTTCAAAGGTGCCACCCTTGATTTTGCCAAAATAAAATACGTTTTGATTTCACCTGAAGAATTAATAACTCTGAAATAGATAACAGCACAATAACCTGACTCTGACGCATCGCAGAAACCGTGCAATTCACAACTGTTTGACTCGTCTAGATCAATCAAACGCGACAATTTCACAGTCGACAACAAGTTAAGCTCATTTTGAAGTCGTGTCCATTTGTTAGAAACATTTTCTGGAGGAACATCATCCCAATCCATTCCAAGAACCCACAATTGTTGAATGAGCATTTTGGCAATAAGAGTAACAGGATTTAGGAACCCAATCGGATCGAAAATTCTAGCAATCTGTGACAGAATGTTCCGTTTCGTACACGGAATTTCGCAAATTTTGATTGAATAATAAAAGACATCAGGATAAGGTCCCCATTGCAAACCCAAGATTTTGATAGTCATCTTGTCATCGAAATCGAAAGAAAGATTTTGATTTTGGACATAATCAGGTGGTAAATCTGCAAGTAATCTAGCATCATTACTGGCCCATTTCCTTAGTTCGAAGCAACCGCGTTTCAATAAATCAATCAATTGATTTTGAGCTATACATGCCTTTTCAATAGTCTCACAACTATAAACTATATCATCCATATATGTATGGAATTTCAAGATTTCTGCAGCAATTGGAAATTCGCTCTCCACTTGGGTGAGATGTAACAAGGTTCTGATAGCCAAATAGGGAGCACAAACTACCCCAAATATTCAATTGGTATTCAGATATAATATCCGTGGTTGGACATCGCCATAAAATGCGTTGAAATTTTCTCTGATTCGGAGTAACTAAGATTTGGCGGTACATTTGCTTTATATCGCAAGTAAAGACAAATTTGTTGAGTCGAAATAATAGCAAGATTTTAACAAGGTCATTTTGCAATTTTGGACCCGTATATAATGAATCATTCAACGATATTTTCCCAATTGCATGGCAGGAAGCATCAAAAACTACTCGTAGAGGGGTAGTCGTCGAATCCTTTTTTATAACACAATGATGAGGTACGTAGTACGCATCATCAGTCAAGGTGTCAGATAGAGTTGGAATCTTTGACATATGTCCCTCATCTATGAAATCGCATAAAAATTTTGAATATGAGAACTTTAAATCAGGATCTTTTATAAAACGTCGTTCTAAGTAATTGAACCTTCGTAATGCGATAGATTTAGTATCCCCGAAAGAAATGTTATCATTTTTGAAAGGTAGTGATACGACAAATCTACCTTCTTCAGTACGGTAGGTTGTATCGGAGAAGTATTTCTCACAATAAGTATCTTCTGGTGTACTTATTTGTACACTTGGTACTTCTTCTACCTGCCAAAACCTTTTTAAAGTTTGATCTAGATTAGTGTCTGTGTAAGAAGCAAAAAAGGATTTTAGTTCAGGAATAGCCTCAGATGTCTGAGTGTCTGAAGTCTTACCCATTACCACCCAGCCAAAAATCGTATTGATGGCTATTGGTTGATTGGCTTGACCTAATAAACGCCCAGTTTCTAAAATATATGGGAATATGTCTGCTCCCAGAAGCAAATCAATCGGCCCTGGTGTGTGAAATTCAGAATCCGCCAATTTCAAATTACGTATATGATCCCACGTTTCAAATGATAATAGCGTGTTAGGCATTTGCGAGCAGATTTGATCCAAAATAATGGCGTTGATTTGAAATGTTGCATCAGGAATTTCTAGAGGAGATATTTTACAAAGTACTCCAGAATTGGCTGGAATTTCGGTCGACAAACAAATTTCCGATTCAATAGCATCCGTGACACGAAGGACCATTTTAATGTACCATAAGGGTGCATTTATTTGTGAGGTACCGGCATCAATCAAATCAGAAGGCTGTCTGTCGATCTTTAGCATGTACCAATCAACGAGTAAACGAATTTATACAATTGATAAAAAAGATAATAAATCCAAGATGCATCAAATTGTTGACTTACCCAGAAAACAGGGAGAGGTGGCACAGGAAATACAATCACTTCCCTTTGATATTTCAACACTTGAATCGCAAGATTCCCGCGTAACGATATTGTTCATGAATGTCGCATGACAAATTCTATTTTTCGAATGTGTCGAAAAATCCATACACTCACAGCTCTGCTCGTGTTGTTTTCTTCTTTCCACTTTTTGTAGGTTTTTTCGGTATCACCGATTTCATTCTGCTTATTCTCGACATAGGCGTAACGTAGGGGAAAGCAAAGGAATAGGATATGGGTGCAGTCAAATTGACTATAACGTAAAATGCAAACTTGAAGCAAGATATTTGAACATTATATGAGTTGAATTTAATATTATGAGTTAAAATAGTAAACACGCATGTGAATTCAATAATTTTTTTATGAGTTGGATATTGGGACGAAACAACTTACAAAATCTGCAGAAATAATTCGCTCGAAAACTTTCAGTAAAACCTAATAGCATATTTAAACCTAGATTATCACCCAAAAATAAAGCCACACAAAAGTGTATCTTTTTTTTTTCCTCCATCAACATCTATGATAACTCCATTATCTTGCAACTGTGTCAACTCATCGATTAATTTTGAAAATATAACTGCATTTCCGAACTCTTTGAGGTCAGAGCTGTGGAACAAAAGTGCCAAAAAAATATTTTCAATGTGTGCCCTGTATTTAGGAGGAATACATGGTATTGAATAATAAACTCCTCCCAGTTTGTGTATACCTGCATGCTGCATGGGAACCTAGTGGATTACCACTCTCAAACTCATCAAAATAAACAAAAATAGGCAATATGATATCACATATCACTCCAAGATCAAGAATTTTATTTTTCCAAAACTTTGTTTGAATTATGTTAGAAATGTCAGGTCTTTCCATTAACTCTTGAACATAGTTATTTATTTCAATGAATACTGAAGGTAGTTCTAGAAACTTTTTCCAAACCCTCCCAATTGGAACCAATTGACTTTTATACGTTTTGGGTAAACCAATACCATGAATAACGTTATCTAATCTCTGTCCGACAATATACTCTATAGGTTTAATGAAATATTCGGTTTTTTCAAGATACTTTAAACGAAAGTATTCAGTTTTCAGGTCTTTGAAAACGTTTTGTAATATGTCAAAATAAGTGGAAATATATGTTTTGTCAGAGTCATTGATTATATCTGTCAATAAAGACAAAATGTTATTTTTGCACGTTGTTATTGGTCTATCTAATAATTGTTGCACAGAGTCAACAAAAGTTTGAACAATTTTCCTATCAAGCGAAGAATCGGCATATAATTGAATAACTAACTGTGTTGCATTATCTTTTATAATACTCTGGAATTCCTCGATGACCATTGTTCTATTCGAAGTTTTATTATTAGCATCTTTGTCTGTGTGTGTTTCAAAGTTTGTATCTTTATTATTTGTAGATTCTTGATAGTATTCTTGTATCATTGAACACTTTGAGGACATCGTGGAATTATCAATATTTGATATCAGTGTTTCTGGTGTAACATCATCATTATGGATTCTCAAATGTCTCCTAAAAGAGTTCAGGGAAGTAAAATCTCTGCAACATCCAGTATCTCCACATGTATATATTGAGTTGCTTTCTAGATGGTGAAAGTGTTTTAGATGACTTATCAATGATTTTATTGTGGTAAAACGATTATGACAATATCAACAGGAAGGCATTTTTTATAATTCCATCACACTTTTCATCTTTGAAATGGAATTTTATATCACTAATGACTGCTGATGTACTCCAAGATTTATTAGTTACATTCATTAGGAAAACCAGCTCCTGTATAAAATTCCATGTATGTTTTGATTCACATGGATATTCCAAATTTAGGGCATGTATAGTTTTGAACAGCAATTCTATCATACGAATGCAAGATGTGCATTTATAGGTTACCTCATTGAAGATTATAAGATAGTCAGTTCCTGAGATGATTCCAAAAGGCTGTAGTGGGAAGTTGTACTTATCGAGTAGAGCCTTTCTTCGATTTATAATCTGCAACTGCTCCTGAGTATCCTATTGAATAAAATTCAATATAATATCAATGAGAGTACTGGACAAAAAAGAAGTGGACTCACAAATTGTAAATAATTTCACAGGGTGTCAGTCTTTCGTAGCAGTACTTCAACAGCTTGAAGAACACATATTTTTGAGATGATAAGTTCATTTGAACATAATATGCCTGGGAGCTTCATTTCCAATTTACAGGGAGTCGAAGTTCGAGATTTTTTCAATGTTTTTGAAGCTTTCAACTACAATTTTCAAAATAATGATTTGAAATTTGGTATACCTATCACACTTTGAAAACTCAATATTTGGGGCTATTAAGCGATTTCGATTACTTTTATTTAGAATAGAATATTTTCATTTAACCACGTTACCTACACTGTATATTTTACCTACAGGGTGGTACTTACACTTTTCAGTGTTGTACCCCCAATTGTACCTTTCAATGAAACATTAATATAGATCATGTTCTATTTGAAACATTTTTGCTCTTTTATATATGTTTTTCAAAAACTGTATTGATTTTGAGATAAATGCCAAAAATAATTCACTGGTGATAAAAACTTTACTTTACGAACACACTCTATTTGACATTACTTTTAATAATGGACTAGAAGAGTTGGAATGAGCGAAAGCTTTCATAAGATATGTGTGAGCGTCGACCGTTACACGATTGGATTTTCGGTAAAGTGAAGGTTCATTTTCCCACATACATAAATCTAACAGATGTGTTCATGAAACTCAGTGGCAAAACTTCACCTGTATATCGAAAAAGAAGCTTCAACAGATATTATGTTTACATGATATTTCTTTTTAAAATAGTATCTTCTTTATGCTATTGAAGTTCTGCTATAAAAAACTGACTCACCCTGTAGAATACCAAGCTAAGTAAAGAGAACATTTTCCCTGCCGATCTGTATTAATTCACGAGATGCTGGCATGAAGGGAAATAAGAAAACCAGGAAAAATTTCAAAAATGTTCAAAAATGAATCTACACACTTACCTGGGCCTGAAAAAAAAACTATGCTGTATTTCTGTTCTTGTGGGTCTCCAGTTCTTATTTGGGTCCTTAGAGTTTTTCTTTAGTGTGATGGGATTGAACAAGAATGGAAGTATAAGCATGGCCTGTGTGGGTTTATCTATAAAAATGTTATAAACTATCAAGAATTTTCCATCTACATTGAATAAAACTCACCAGCAACATTTGGCAATTCCATTTTCCTGTCCTTTGCTTCATCACATATAGCATCTATAACTTTTGGCCAGTCTGATATATTATGTCAATTTTTTCAGGATATATATGGTTGAAATCAATTTCCAGCTGAAACAGAAATGAAATGAAATTTGGATAGATATAGAAAAATATTGACAGTGGTGATCACAGAAATATATACAATATCACTCACCAATTCCAAAGCAATATCAGTCTTCAAACAGGTAAATATTTCATACAAGTTATTAGTTTTGTTATCATTGTAATATAACTGATATCTACGTTTGAATGTTGTTTCCCAGGCACTAATTACTTGATTCTTGGGTTCAATGCCTGCCTTCAAAAAATTCAATTTCGCTTCAATTTCTTCACTGTTGTCCATTGATGTATTTACTGCACTGTTCTCCTTGTCATTATTATTTCCCTGGACAATAGGGATTGATTAGCAATCCTCAGTGCTGCTTTGATATTGACATATTTTGACCAAAGCTTTCCCCGTGCAGGCATCCGTAAACCTGTTTTTGCTGAGCAGTATGGAATATAAGAAGTTTCACGTTGTTCACCAGGAAATAAATTTATAATTTCATCAGCTGCTTTCATGAATGTATCTCTCTTTATTCTGAAAAAAAGCAACTTTTACCTAATCAATCTTCGCAGATATGATGTTGTTCAAATCATTCACATACATCAAATCAAAGGATTATTATATCTGTAACAATACTTACTCAGTACATTCTTCTCTAGAAAACAAATCATTTATGTAAAATAAGTATTGTTCAATTCTGTTTCTAGTGCCTTTATTATCTAAATTATTGTACATTGGTACATGCTGACGTTTTATCTGACAAGCCTGCTCAATAACTACCAAACAAATGCTACCTAAGATGATATGATCCATTTCCATTCAAATACTTTACACCTCACCACAAATGAAAAAAACAAAAAAGCAAATGTGCATTATATATGAATATTTAACAATTAACTGAATCATCTATAATCATCTTTTCACAAACGAAAAAAACAAATTAAAATCATGCGAATTTATTAATTCATACAATAATCATCATATTTGGCAGGTATTTTCGAAATACGATATGGTCTACTTTCAGATTTACTGGAGCCCTCAATGCTTTCATCAGTTTTTCCCATCAGAGACGAATGTGAATATTTCAAATATTTCCTATTCCTCCTCAATTTACTTCCTGAATCATCTTCAGTAATATATGACCTTGGTGAATCATGCTCTCCAATTACAGTTCCAGGTTCCCAAATTCCATCCTTTCTGACAACAATGTTATCACCATCCTTCAAATTAGGTAAATCCTTTACTCCTTTTCTATCATAATAGAATTTCTGGGTTTGCTGGTTCTTTTGTAATTTCTTTTTTATGCCATCCGTGTCTATTTCTTCTTTTTGTAACAAACCAGAGTGAATCGGCAATTTATCACGCAACCTCCGATTATTGAGCAGCTGACTAGGTGACAGTCCGATTGAGACTATTGGTGTATTCCTGTAATCTAATAAACTAGCACATAGTTCGTTACCTTTCCGCATAATTGATTTTGCAATTCCAACTGCTTTTTCGGCTAAACCGTTCGACTGAGGGTAACCAGGACTTGAGGTTATTGTTTTGAATTGCCATTCACTTGCAAATTTTAAGAATTCAACGCTACTAAATGGCATATTATCAGAACAGAAAAATTCCGGTATACCTAATGCACTGAAGATTTCTTTTAGGACTGATATAACATCTGATGACTGTTTGGACCTTAATTTACGAATCTCAAGCCATTTGCTATAAGCTTCAATCACAACTAGGTAATCATTGTTTCCATAATACATGATATCTCCTGCAACCCTTTCCCATGGTCTTTCAGGTACCTCCGGTTGTAGCAAAGGTTCTCTGGTATTATTTCTGGAATATTTTTCACATATCCTACAATTCTTCACCATAGAAGCAATATCAACTGACATATTCGGCCAGTAAAAATAATTTCTTGCTCTAGATTTTGTTTTATTTTCACCGAAATGATTTTCGTGTAATGTAGATAATATTTTTGCTCGCAATGAAGTTGGAATAATCAACTTATCATTGACGAAAAGCAATTTATCCCCAATTGAAAGATCTTGACTTATTTTCCTATATTTTTCAATTTCAGAACCTAATTTTTTTCTTGGCCAACTTGTCTCAGTGAATTTATACACCATTTTTAACACCTCATCATTTTGTGTCTCTTTCTGAAATTCAATTTTTCGCTCATCTGTCATAGGAATATATTTTGATGCTAAGTGTACAATTTTGTCTCCATCATTTTCCACTTCAATTTTTTTTTCTTCTTTGAGAGGTGCTCTAGACAAGAAATCTGCAATAAACATCAGTGAACCTTTCAAATATTGAACATCAAGCGAATATTTCAAAGTTTTCATTCTCAAATTTTGTAGTCTGCAAGTGAGCTGATTAATATTTTTTTTAAAAATAGATTCGAGCGGTTTATGGTCTGTGTGAACTGTCACTTCATGACCATAAATATAAAAATGGAATTTTTCACAAGCAAATTGTATACTCAGCATTTCTTTCTCAATCTGTGCGTAGCGTCTTTCACAATCTGTTAGAGTTCTTGATGCGAAAGCAACAGGTTGTCCATTTTGTAGGAGACAGGAACCCAATCCATTTTGTGAAGCGTCTGTTTGTATGACCATTGGTTCACGGCTATTAAAAATTTTCAAGTTAGGTACTTTTGTAACGATCATTTTTATTTGATCTACTATGTCCTTATGTACCTTGTCAAATTTAAAAATTATATCCTTTCTGAGTAGTGTTCGAAGAGGGGCAGTTATTTGAGACAGATGCGGTATAAATTTCGATAAGTATTTCAAGAACCCTAAAAATCTCTCTAATGATTTTTTTTCAGATGGATATTCCAGATGAGTTATCGCTTTTACGTATTTGGCATCTAATTTAACTCGATCTTTTGAGATAACATGTCCACAATATTTGACTTCCTGAACTTTGAACTGAATTTTGTTTTTATTGAATTTGACACCATATTTTCTCGCCCTTTCCAGTAAATTTATTAAATTTTCATCATGCTCCAATTCATTTTTTCCACAAATAACAATATCGTCAAAATAAATGAAAACACCTGGTAGATCACCGAATATTTCCATGTTTTTCCTTTGAAAAACTTCCGGAGCCGATGAAATTCCAAATGGAAGCCTGTTGAAGCGATATCGTGCGAACGGTGTATTGAAAGTACATAATACATACCCGATAAATGTGCGATAATATCTTCTGGTTTTGGTATAAGATACAATTCTCTTTTGACAGCCTTATTAAGGTCTTTTGGATCAAGGCATAAGCGTAAATCACCATTTGATTTTTCTCGTATTACTAAGTTATGTACCCAACTCGTTGGCTTATCGACTTTGGAAATTATTCTTCTTTCTTCCAATCTATTCAGCGTCTCTTTCAGTTTCGACAATAAAGCATGAGGGACTCGTCGAGGGGGATTGATTACTGGAAAAACATCAGATTTAATATGTATATGATATGTCCCTGGAAAATTTCCTGTGCCTGTGAAAAGATCATTATATTGATGAAATAAATCGCTTTCTGTTTTTAATGAATGATTCAAGATATCTACTCTTTTGATTAATCCGAATTTCACACAATCACAGAGACCTAGAATTGGATCAGAATTGAAATCAACGATAAGAAATTCTACAATTTCCCTAATATTTTTAATAATACAATTCAATTTAACGCTACCCAGTGGCCTAATTTTCGAACTATGATCACCACCAAACCCTACAATCCTTATATGTGTTGGCTGTATTTCCACTTTATTCTTCAATTTGGATAAATATATCAAAGGCAGACAATTAATTTCAGCACCACTATCTAATTTCACCTTCACGCTCAGGTCATCGATGATAATTTCCTCATACCAGACTCGTTTACTCTCCTTATCTTCCGTCTTCTTGATCTCGTTAACGTATAACTCGAGAGAATTATGTTCGTTTGGATCATCACTGCAATCTATATCATCTGATTCTGCCGCATCATCTTGAACTTCATGTACATTCTTCTGATTCTTCAAGTATTCTTTGCATTTCTTCACAAAATGTCCTTTCTTCTTGCAATAGCCGCACTCCTTATCAAAAGCTGGGCATCTTCTAGGTTTATGTGAATAACCACAAAAGTTACAATCTTCAATGATTTTTCCTCTGACAGCTAACGTCTGTTTGACAACGTTGACATTCGCTTCCCGCTGTATTTCTCCCATCTGCTGCTTGCTTGCTTCTACAGCTCTACAATATTCAGCAACTTTTTCCATTGTTATATTTCCATCTCTTAGAAGTACTTCTTCAACTCCTGCATCCCTTATTCCATAAATAACTTGGTCTCTTATTATACTCAATTCTTGATCACCAAATGCACATTTTGGTATAGAATTTTTCAATTCAGTTAAAAAGCTGTCGAAAAATTGTCCCTCTTTCTGCACAATATTTCTGAAAACAAACCTCTCATATACGATATTGGCTCTTGGTTTGCAATAAATTTCAAATTTATCAAGCAAATCTTTCAATGAGATCGTTTGACTATCCAACTTCATTGAATTGAAGACCTTCAGACCCTCTTCTCCAATTATACTCAGGAATATAGCAACTTTCACATCTTCTTTTATTTCTGTCCCATCTCTTCCAGATGCTTTCATGAAAAGGGTGAACTGCTGCTTCCACAAAGCCCAATTTTCTGCAAGATTTCCTTCAAACCCTAGTTGCTTTGGAGGACGAAATGTGGACTCCATTATCTTCTTCTATAGGTATAATTCTGCTACACGTACACTTGTGGATCAGTTAGTTTACTTCTGACACCATGTAAAATAAGTATTGTTCAATTCTGTTTCTAGTGCCTTTATTATCTAAATTGTACATTGGTACATGCTGACGTTTTATCTGACAAGCCTGCTCAATAACTACCAAACAAATGCTACCTAAGATGATATGATCCATTTCCATTCAAATACTTTACAATTTATGATTAGTTTGCTGAGTTTTTGACGCATGTCATTATTTAGTTTGTGTCGGTTCATGAGTATAACTCTACCATCTGTTGATTTCGTGAGTAATTCCTCTAGCCCCTGAAATGATGAACAGACAGACTTCATAATAATAAATTGTAAACTATCTACAATACGAACATCAGTTGAGAATACTGATGATCTTCTGATTTTCTTCACAGGGGGGTTGTCTGTCTCATCCAATATTTTCAGTAGTTCTTTATCTGGTTCAAATACATAAAAATCAGATGCTGATGAAGTATCTACTGGAGTACTGCACCCACTTGGACCTGGTATATAAATTGATTGCTGATCATGACTTTGACCTGTTCCCTCAGTTGTCCCATGATGCTATAATAATTTTCCATGATAAGGTTTTAATAACATTGTTCAGTGAAAAGTTACTAATGGTAATAATAATATAGGGTTCAGCATATGTGTGGAAACACCTAATTTTTTACTAGAACAGAAGTATTTTTTTCTGTTCTACTCGGTGGCAAATGTTGATTTTTAGTAGTTATTATATTGTCGTAAATATGGCGTAGTCAGCAGTTTTTACAAATTGATCACCCTGTATGTAAAGATTTTTTCGGACTGCTATATTCTTTCAGCTCACATCAATATGAAATTTGGCGTGTCTGTGATTTGTTGTTGTAGAAATATTAATTAATAAAATATATCTGGTATTTGAGTTCTAGTCATTTACTTAATTGTAACAAAACGATAAAGTATGATCAAACTGTAGACCTTCAGCCACTTGATAATAACCTAACCTATGAATGAATCCCCTCAAAATGTAAACATTTCTTGAGAAGGAGGTCTATATACTATTGAACATTCATTTTCATTAGTTTTTCATTCTTCATCAATTATTATTTTAACTTATATTTATACAACCACCAGTCAAAGTCACGCCAAAAACTCTATATCACTGTAAGTTGAAAGAAAAGCTATACAAGAAAATATTAACATACAGGGTGATCTATTTAAAAAACTGCTGATGCACCATATTTTTACAACAATATGAAAGCTACCAAAAATAAAGAATAGACATTGGCCACTGAGTAGAACAGAGAAAAAAATGAAAGTCTGGATAGAAAAAAAGTTAATTACTGTTTTAGTCATAAAATTACCTGGGTGTTTCCACAGATATGCCCAACCCTGTGAAATGAATACATTATTGCCATCATCTTTTCTGATTTTTACAGTGTTATGACATACACTGTTATTTCCATCTCAAATTTGGTATGTTTTACTTTTCATTATCCTCAACTTTTGGAAATATATTAATTTATGATAATATTTTGATTTCTCTGTCCACAAATTAATATAAACAATAAGGGAATTTGGTAAACTATGAGTGAACTGTACTGTAGACATGAAAAATAGAGTAAAATCATCAGTACCATCTGAAGCACAACATTGAATAAATGAATAGTCAATTTTCTAGAAGATTTTGAAAAACAAAACATACCTACTACCAAATTTGAATGGAGAAAATCAGACAAAATCTACCTAGAACAGCAAGAATACCTTTGTTCAATATGTTGAAAATCATATCTTGAAAAAAGAGTAGTTTATTAGATAGATATGATCGAATTAGATTCCTGAGCTCAAAATTAATGAATGAGGTAGGTAATGAAATGGTGATTTTAAAATAACCTACCCCTTCACTTGACAAGTATCCATTATACTTTTGTTTGAAGATGAGTCTGGGTCCTGCCTTATCAAAGAGCTCCTGTATTGTTTTGTCATCCAACAAACTGAAACTGTCATCTGTTATCCCTTCATCTGAAATATTGAATTATTAATTACCTATTTGATGCCAAGATCTGTTTTTTCGATGATTCCATAGGTATGCACAAATCATTGCAATTTGAGTGATGATCTGAGATGAGTATGATATAATGATATAATCAAATCAACTAAAATAAGAATTGATAACTAACAACTGAGAACTAAAAGTTCTGAATACAAGCATTCACATTTGTCATTTAAACTAAAGAATCGTGAATGAAGAATAACAAAGTTGGTTAACTATCAACTTAACAACTAAAAAATTAAGAAACTTTGCTGAGAGAACCCATACCTACAGACTCCAGAATGAAATTATAAGGAACTGCAAAACCCTCTCTCTTAATTCACCCTCATCCATTTTTATAACAATGAAATATTAACAAAAAATATCAAAATAAACAAAGCAGAATGTAAAATTGAACCACAACACTGAGCTGTCAAATCAAATTATATTTCAGGAAACATTTCACATATTATATCATCCCAATTATTTTAGTGTCATACCACTGTAGGAATGATGGAATGTCCATGATGGTATGTTAAGGGTGGTCAAGGGTATGTCACTGTCATACAAACACACTTGAATTATCAATAATTGTCAATTCTTAATGTTGTGAATCTCAGTTGCAAATGTTGAATTTATAAACCCACCCCACCCACCATTATATCTTGGGCGTCTAGGTAGGTACATGGTCAGTGGTATAGCCAGCATACAATGTATGTACGCTGGTATAGCTTATTCATCAGATGAAAAATGAAGAAGTAAAATATGTATGGTAGGTGTATATACTTACCAATGAAGTTTTGGGCAAATTTCGACAATCCCCACTGTTCCAGTAAATTTAGGCATTGCATTTTGCAAGTTTACAACCCAGTTACTGTGGTTACACTCACCACTATCGTGCACTTAAGATGCCTACTGCACCTGCACAAACACAAAATCTGAACAAGAGGAGACGACGCGTTCACTTCCAAATCTCGAGCAAGAATGCACTCTAACGGACGCGCGAATCCCGCGATCATGGCGCGAACTCACCGAATACGCCCGAGATGATGCCGAAACGACGACAATTAAAGGTGAGTTCCCAATGCATCGTTTTTGCTTTTCGCGTCACGCGTCACGCACTCTGATTGGTGACGCGTAATTCGGAATTGCTGTACCGCTTTTTTGATTATTGTTTAGTTCCCAATGAATGATGTTTAGCTATGTCGTTATTGTCAGGAAAATGTCAAAGTAGATGAAAATAATCTAATAAAATGGAAGCAAGAAACAAAAATAGATTGAGAAAATTGCTGCTATTAGCTTATCTACTGAGAAAACGAAGAAGACAGGGAAAAATAAGATCATGCTGGGTCAGACCTACCATTACAGTTGATGATTTCAGTGCACATTCCACAGTGATACTGTAATTATTTAACAATCATTAGACCATTCTCAACAATAAGAATAAATAAACTTACACTTAGAACTTCCTCATTATCCATAGTTCATACCTGTATTTACTTCAATATAATTTGAAACTATTGAAAGTTTCTCAAGGCATAACCTCAATTCAACCGCAAACAACAGCCCAAAATCGAATATAAATGATATATCACCTAGCAGCAACGCCAGAAAGTTAAAATATTTTAACTTCATCGCTTCAAATTATACTCGAATTTCGCGTCACCAATCAGAATGCGTGACGCGTGACGCGAAAAGCAAAAACGATGCATTGGGAACTCACCTTTAGTGTACAGTCACCTGGTGTTATTAAACTGGTAATACCGGTAGCATTATTTGTTCCATTTCTTGAAATATGAATACCTACGCCAGATGATTCAATGTTAGGTGAAGTTGTTGAATAATTACTATTAAATAGTTCGATGGCAATTGATTATTTGAAAAAAAAAGCACGTCTTTCAAGAACCTAGTTCACCTATCACTGAAACTCTATATCAGAAACGTTTTTTCACCTGCGGTAATATAACAAAAGTTGAATAGTTCATTAACTGTAATTCAATTATTTTCAAGTATACTTGTATACCTGGCACGTTTTTCTCTGTGTGATGTGATCCAGAACGCCAGGCGGTACAGGACTTCAGAAGCCGGTTCACACCACAAAAATGGCACTTGACCACCACGAAGAATTTTATGAAGTGAGCTCTTGTCTCACGACCAAAAAGGAAATCCCTCCTCCTACATTCCAGAAACTTCGTGAACAATTTAACAGTTTCCGCTTTACAAATTGGCGGAACATTTGAATATCCAAAATAAAAGATGTTATCGCTACTCCCTCCAGAGACTTGATTCTTTCCAGGTGTCTATCTGAACCAATCACAACTGATTACTAAAATGACGTCACACCTTTGGTCAGTTTTCTTCACGAATACTCGGCTAAGTTGGTTCGGCGACATTCGGCGATGAATCAATCCAAATCGGCGTTTGGCGCATGACAAGTTTGATACTGTTGACATGGTGTCATGACCGACAGATAATTGACGTAGAGCGAAATAACTGATCAACAAAATCAAAACATCAACCTGAATTTATCAAATGCATCAATCACGAAAATAATACCAAACGAAGTTGTGATTGATTCACAATGGTCAATTCCTAGTGGAACCATCCGCCTCAGCCTGGAAAATCCAATACCTATTGTCCTACTGTGATGAAGTTTCAAGTGGAAATAGCAGTGTGAAAAGTGAGTATGACAATGTCTCTGAAATGGTATATCATATTACCTACTTAATATTATTCATATCTTTCAGATAAGTTTCCATCTGAATCATCCTTCTACTTGGATCACAACAAAGCGGATATAGCGAGAGATATCAACGTATTTATCGAAATAGTATTTTTATTTTATGTACAGTGTGAAATCTCAGGTGTATATCTACATATCAGGTTTGGGAATAATTAAATAATATGAGGCAGATTGAGTTCAATTTATATCATTGAAAAATGTTAACCATGTTATTGTGACAAAATATCCTGTCAGATGTGCTCAGCAGTACAGAATAGTATAGAATCAGACAAAATATACAGTAGTGAAAATCTACATGCTACATATTAATAAAATGCATTTATAGGTCTTTTTCCAATGTAAGATTAAAAAATGTAGAGGCAAATGAGTGGGACTCATTATCCCAAATGATAGTAGAAGATAATACAGAAAAAAAACATTGCTCTGATGTTGAATCTGAACCCACTTGCTCATCTCAGAGTAATACGGTACAAACACCAGTACAAACATCAAGTGGAAAACCAGCTGCTGCACAATCTCAGCAGAGAAAAAGAGAATTTGTTTCGGCAATACCAAGAAACACACTGCCCTCAAAAAAAACTAAATCGGAAATCCTAACAGGAAAAATTAGTGGATGTTTCGATATGTTCCAAAAAGTTTTGGAAAACAACATTTCAAAACCAGCAACAGTAAATAATGATCACGAACATTTTGTGAGAAGTTTGGTGACAGATTTGAGTATATTCTCAAATAGAAATAAAATCATTATAAAAAGACAAACATATAATGTTGTTGCAGATTATCTTCTGTTAAAGGAAAATGATAATAATTGATGAATCCTCACACAATTCAAAAATTTTGTGATAGTTCTATAAGAAAGCCATGTTTCAGTTCCTATTTTGTGATACATACCTAGATGTTTCTTGTACCTGGCAATTTTATTATGTTGTAAACTTTGAGAATGTTTGTTTATTTTTCGAAGGTTGTTTTTTGTACCTGATTTTTGCTCAAAGTACAATCTAGTTGAGTTATTAGTATTTTTTTAATTTTGAACACTTTGAGAATGTTTCTGTTTATTCTTGCCTTATAAGGTTCAAGTCTAGTTAAGGTTGGGAAACGCGACAAAACTCGCCTATACCTGAGGTCCGGGGGGGTTAGGAAGAGATAGCAGTGGGCGGTTACAAAATAGTCATAAATCAACAAGCATCCTTTCTAGAAAAGGACAAATGACCCGGTTCGCCGATTAGTCAGGGTGATTACCGCGTCCGAATATTTATTTATATTGCTTATAATCTGCCTAGCCGATTTCTAGCGAAAAGTATTCTAGCTATATTCATCGGGTAATCCGGTCATAGAATCTTACTTGATAACACCTTGATTGTGTTATATCCTTGGTTATATCCATCACGTTAACATATGTTATGAAGACTTACGACACTCTTCATTGGTCGAGAGGTGTGGAAAAATTAGGATTTTTTGTATTCTCTAAAATAGATCATGAGATATATTATCCATCATGGGTACACTATCATGCTGAGGAGATGCAATAAACATCGGATAATTTGAGGGTTCACGATGGGTTTCACAAACTTTCTGAAAGATTCAATTTCATAATCAGAAATTTAGATGGCCAATCGCGGGAAAATGTGTATACTATCAGCAAAAAGTAATATGGGAAGTATCAACAACAGGATATCTATCCAATATTAGGGTACATAATATACAGATTTACTGCAGTAAATCTGTATGTTGATGATTGCTAAAAAGCCTCAAGCCATAGCGCTGCTTTTGAAAATCCGATCTTGAAAAACCAAGAAGCAAACGAAATGACTCATCAGATACTATGAGTAGGCTTTAATCATTATTTTCTCAAATTTCAACTGTATCGTTAGTTGAAGTTAACTTTTCTGTTATATTATACAGGGTGATTTACGTAGGCGCAAATATCATCGACCAAATCGTGCGTATTTGTGAGAATGTAGAGCAACGGCTCTTGACCTCCTGTATAGACATCGATCACTATTTCGAGCTGCTTTTTTTTGTGTGGTTTGTTGAAAGATAGATCTAGGTCGGATACTATTTGGAAATTGGTTATTTCATGTACAGGCTGTCCCATTTTCGATGTCCTTACGGGATATCTCGCTTAATTTTGAAGATAGAGATTTGCGGTTTTCGCGAACGTTGGCTACTTTTTTGTGAAACTCACGAAACCGAGAACAAAATTTCCATAGCCCGCTTCGTTCCTGAGATACAGGGCGAAATTGAAAATATTTCATTTTGGGACCATCCCTGTTTCTCAGCTATCTTTCAACTTAGAGGAAAAGTAAGAACTGTTTCTTTCTCAATTTTTCACGTAGAATCCAGTGGCGTAGTCAGATTTTTTAAATGAGCTGTCGTTATTTAGATATAACCCAAAGTTATGTTTTTTTAAATAGAACACCCTGTATATTTTTCAATATTTGAAATAAGAAAGCTTTGCGCTTTTCAAAAATATATAACACTTATATGATATTTTGAGTATTAGTCCTGTATTTGGGTAATTTTCAGTTCTTTATGGCATGTCAAGACAAATAATTTCTACTTTTAGAATAGATATTCTGGCGCGCAATAATTAAATACCACTCATTTATATATAGGGTAGAATGAGAAGTATTCATTTAAAATGATTATTCAATTAACAAATTGATAAAAACAATTTGATAAAACATAAAACAATTTGATAAAACAATAAATTCAAACACTACTACAAAACAATTCTATTAATTTTTCTCCTGTTGAAAATGTTTTATGAATATTGTTCAAATTGCTGCCCATTCTGTTGAAGACACAGCCGACATCTTCTGAGGATAGCGTCAATCGACCGGAGTAAAAATATAGGTCTCATACGTAAATATTCGAAAGCTTCTCTCGTAGCATTCATCAGTGAATCTCGATCTTCATGCCGCGTGTGATATATTTTATTTTTTATATAGCCCCATAAGAAGAAATCTAATATCGATAAGTCAGGGGACCTTGGCGGCCAGTGAATGGGACCATTATTACCAATCCACTGATTTTGAAATCTTTCATCAAGATAAACCCTGATGGCACCTGCGTTATGACAAGGTGCGCCATCTTGTTGGAAGAAACTGTGTCTGAATTGAGCCAACGGAATTTCGTCAAGTAGTTCAGAAAGACAATCATCTAAAATTTCCAAATATCTTTGGTGATTCAAGTTACCGTCAAAAATTCGATAGGCAAGTCTTCCTCCATGAACGAAACAAGATTAAAGCCGAATCTGCCTTGCTGTTGGCGAACCACCGTAACGTGATGATTTTCATTTGACCAATAACGATGATTATTTCGATTAAATATTCCAGCGCTACTTATATGGCTTTCATCGGACCATACTACTGAACGCCCAAAATTTATATTTTCTTCCGTCTTTTGGATATACCATCTACAAAACTCAATGCGCTTCACAGCATCACCCGGGTACAAATAATGAATAGTTTGTGGTATATAGGGGGTATATTTGTTCTTTTTCAATATCTTGGACACCCTTGTCTTTGGAATGCCAAATGATTCTTCAATTTCTCTGCAAGAAGTATAATTATTGCTTTCTTCTACCTTTGCAAGGACACTAATTTCATCGTTTTCGGCATTTTCTTTCCTATAACTTTTTGGTCTAGGCTTCTCAAAAGATCCAAAATTTTCCAAATTTTCTTTCAGTCTGCCAAATATTTTCCTACTTGGTTGTCTCCTCTCGGGATACCTAAATTTTTTATCATATTGTAACTGATACCCAGCAATTGGGAGATAGTAAATACCTTTCAAAATATAGGTTCTTCGCTTGATTTGCATTGAAGCCAACGTGGTAATATATTCCAACCATATCTAATTTCTCGTAGTTTTGATATCCTGGATTATTATTCGCCATTGTATGAAAAATTTGTAAACTTTGACAGGTAGGTGACAAGAATTGTAAACAATCTGCATTTGTGTTTTTTTTTCATAGCTACCTACTAATTAGGTCCACAGCTTTCATAGGCAATTAATAGTACTGAATATTGGTAAATGTGTTGAGTGTGTGACGAAACACTGTGTCAGCAATAAGGGAAATATGAAAATTTGTGAAGTGGATAATGTTGCCACATTTTTACAAGGCCTATTGATAAGAAACCTACATAAAAAACTGAAAATTACCCAAATACAGGACTAATACTCAAAATATCATATAAGTGTTATATATTTTTGAAAAGCGCAAAGCTTTCTTGTTTCAAATATTGAAAAACATACAGGGTGTTCTATTTAAAAAAACATAACTTTGGGTTATATCTAAATAACGACAGCTCATTTGAAAAATCTGACTACGCCACTGGATTCTACGTGAAAAATTGTGAAAGAAACAGTTCTTACTTTCCCTCTAAGTTGAAAGATAGCTGAGATACAAGGGGGGTCTCAAAATGCAATATTTTCAATTTCGCCCTGTATCTCAGGAACGAAGCGGGCTATGGAAATTTTGTTCACGGTTTCGTGAGTTTCACAAAAAAGTAGCCAACGTTCGCGAAAACCGCAACTTTCTATCTTCAAAATTAAGCGAGATATCCCGTAAGGACATCGAAAATGGGACAGCCTGTACACGTTTTTTTTTATTCGCCAAATTGACTTATTTTGAGCACTTTTCGAGAACGTTTTTTTCACTCTTCCTTTAAAAATTTCGAAAAATGAGATAGTATCCGACCTAGCTTGATCCTTTGGCTAGATCATGAATCGAAAAAAATTTGAAAATATTGAATGGTTTCGAAATGGGAAGTCTAGAGCGAGAGCGCTGAATTTGTTATTTTGTGCGGCTCATTGCTCACTCTTAAGTGATGCTGATCTATTAGACAGAGTTGATGTCATTGCTTGAAATTTGATATTCCATGAGAGATGAGATTTTGTGAAATAATAACAAAATGAAGTTATTGTGATATCAAACATAGTGAAACAAGAGCAATTTTGTGTTATAGCCGTCGAAAAAAATCAGTATCTTGGTTCTTTGAAAAGCATTAGATACTATGTTGCTTTGAGCACAGCTGAAGTGGAATAAAAAACAGCAGCAGCAGTCGTAGGGCAAGAACATGGTACGGTGCTCTTTATAGAAACGGGTTGAACTCGATGATATGCGGCAACATTTCATCAAAGGCCTGATTGTTAAAAATGTTATGATGTGGATTAAGTTAGCACAAATTGAAATATTGTTGATTATTTCACCAATTCCTCATTGGAAGAGGAAATTTTGAAATTCAGTTTCAGCTGAGAAAGTTACAAAATAGGCGATTTCCTTGATTCATAGTACAGAGCTCTGATTTCAAAACTTACCACTTAGCCTTATGATGTGCGATGATAACAATTATGTAAAAAAAATAGGTTGATTCAGATACTGAGGAGGAAATAAAATACTAGTATCTATTGAATGCTATGATCATCCCCTCAAACCCCCGCCACCTCTACTTTATAAAATTCCAAATCGCAACTTGAGATACATCAAATTGAGGCGGAAACAAAAACCAATCCGACCAGATGAATAATAATTTATTTCAATGATTCATGTTGGTGATCAACAAAAGTTAGAGAGGGCGAGTAATATGATATTTGAAGCAATTATTCGAAAATATGCTTCAATATTTGATGCTCAATAGTACAGCCTATTCTAGAATTCTTGAATTTTTTAAAACGTTTTCCCATTTATTTGTCTACTTTTCGAGAAATATATCAGTTTGAGTACATCCATATTCTCTGGCTGAGTTTTATTAACCATTGTTTCCACATGTGACTCCACAAAAATTGATCTGCAATGAAAATTGACAAAATGTTTGGCTGTACCTAATAACTGACGTAATATAACTTATAATTTAATGATTATGTCACCCCGATAGGTATAGATCAAATACTAAAATAGTTTTCCATCTGGTTGGTTATTGCTAGACTTTGAATTTTATATATCTCGAAATAGGGGGTGCCATTTGGAATTCCAAAATAGGGGTGTCTGGGGGTGAAGGGAATGAATATAACATTCGACCGATACTG